CTCCAAGTCCTTAAGTTTTCACATTTTGGTCCTCTATTCAACATGCCATAACTTCTCATCCGCTACTCCATTTTGCATGCATGAGATATCAAATTGTTTGTCTCGATGTGCTCTTCATTTTGTTCCATTGCACCATGCTTGTTTGAGTCCATCTTGATGCCCTAATTAATGTTGCAAGAGTGCTTCATAATGTTAGGTGCTGATTCTTATCAGTTTATGAGCATTTGTCATTTTTGCCATGATTAATATGTGCTGCATATGAACATGAGCTCTACATGTGTTTTGGGCTATGCCATGCCATCTTTACAGGGGTGTATGCCATGTATTTTTGTGATCAATGTGGTGACTAGCACATGCATGCAAAGTAGCTCTCGTGATGTTGCTGATTTCAGGGACTTAGAATTCTTCTAAGTCATTTCCCTGATGTTATTTTTATGTCATGTATTCATGTTGCTACAGAGTGATCCATTTCTCTTTTGAGCATGTTCAGTAAGAATGATTTGGGCATATGGTTATGCTCTATCCATCCATGTCTTTGTTTGCAATTATGGAGTACCCTAGCATGGCTCAATCTTACTCTACTTTTTACTATAAAGTGTTCCTGGCAGATTGTTTACGTGTTAATCAATTTTGCCAAGGTTGTTGTAGTTCATCCATGCATGCTATGAGATTGTTCTTGCCATGTTTAGCTTCTTCATCATGTCTTCTTGCTGGGTGTATGCTTAGTTTGTCATGCAATGCCTTGTGGTGAGTGCATCGAGATCGTAAATATGCCTTCGTAATTCTGTTTATGCCATGTCCGGTTTTCTGCTAAGTCTGAATCTGTTAACGAAACTTGTTATGTTTACATGGGTGCCATCATATTTTCTGATCCTTTTTGGCTTATGGTCAGTAAGGGACTTTTGTTATATGCTTTGAGTAGATTCATGCCATGCCTTGTATTGCTATGTTCTGATCCTGTAGCATGTTGTTATCTTGCTCTAAACATTGCTTCCTGATGTTAATTCCTGGCATGTTATTTTCACTAGGTCTGAGATGTTATTATCTTTTGCACTTTTGCCATGTTTGTTTGAACCTGCTCTTGTGTGATTTAGCCGTAGCTCAGTGTTCATCTTTTGTCAAGCATCTTGAGTATATCACTTTCATGTGCTTTGTTGCTATGTTGGAGTGCAGTAGCTTAGTTTCTTGTTACATTCTAGGTGGCATCGTGCTGTTAATCGCAGAATTGTGCCATTATTGTTTTGCTTGCCATTTGCAAACCATGCATCCGTTTCCGGTGATCTTTATATCGATTTCGACCGAAATCAACTCATCTTTCCAGCGGCACGCTTGGTTTGCAAGTTGAGGCCTAATTCCATCTTTTCCTTCCGGAGCACGCATATGCATTGCATATCACATCCCGCATATCATGCCATGTTTTGCATCATGTTGCTTGCGCATTGCACCGTGGTTGATTGTGGTTTCCTTTGCTTGTGTTCTTGCCTTGGGTAGAGCCGGGAGACGAGTTCATGTTCGAGGAACCCGTTGAGTTTGTTTACGAGGATCAAGCTTTCGTCTTCTCGGAGAACTTTGCAGGCAAGATGACCATACCCTCGAAATCACTTCTATCTTTGCTTGATAGTTGTTCGTTCTTTTGCTATGCCGCGATACCTACCACTTGCTATATCATGCCTCCCATATTGCCATGTCAAGCCTCTAACCCACCTTTCCTAGCAACCCGTTGTTTGGCTATGTTACCGCTTTGCTCGGCCCCTCTTATAGCGTTGCTAGTTGCAGGTGAAGATGGAGTTCGTTCCATGTTGGAACATGAATTTTGTTCGGGATATCACAATATCTCTTATTTAATTAATGCATCTATATACTTGGTAAAGGGTGGAAGGCTCGGCCTTATGCCTGGTGTTTTTTTCCACTCTTGCCGCTCTAGTTTCCGTCATACCGGTGTTATGTTCCTTGATTTTGTGTTCCTTCCGCGGTTGGGTTATAATGGGAACCCCTTAACAGTTCGCCTTGAATAAAACTCCTCCAGCAAGGCCCAACCTTGGTTTTACCATTTGCCACCTAAGCTTTTTTCCCTTGGGTTCTGCAGACTTAAGGGTCATCTTTATTTTAAACCCCCGGGCCAGTGCTCCTCTGAGTGTTGGTCCAACCTGTCAGCCGCCGGTGGCCACCAGGGGCAACTCTGGGTTGGCCTACCGGAAGTTTGGACAGTCCGGTGTGCCCTGAGAACGAGATATGTGCAGCTCCTATCGGGATTTGTCGGCACATCCGGACGGCTTTGTTGGTCTTGTTTTACCATTGTCGAAATGTCTTGTAACCAGAATTCTGAGTCTGATCGGGTCTTCCTGGGAGAAGGAATATCCTTCGTTGACCGTGAGAGCTTGTGATGGACTAAGTTGGGACACCCCTGCAGGGTTTTGAACTTTCGAAAGCCGTGCCCGCGGTTATGGGCAGATGGGAATTTGTTAATGTCCGGTTGTAGAGAACTTGACACTTGACTTAAATTAAAATGCATCAACCGCGTGTGTAGCCGTGATGGTCTCTTTCCGGCGGAGTCCGGGAAGTGAACACGGTTTTCGTGTTATGCTTGAACGTAAGTAGTTTCAGAATCACTTGATCACTTCTAGATCACGACCGTGCTTTGCTTCTCTTCTCGCTCTCATTTGCGTAAGTTAGCCACCATATATGCTAGTGCTTGCTGCAGCTCTACCTCACTACTTTTCCTACCCATAAGCTTAAATAGTCTTGATCGCGATGGTGTGAGATTCCTGAGTCCCCGTGACTCACAGATTACTTCCAAACCAGTTGCAGGTGCCGATGCTACCAGTGCAGGTGACGCAATCGAGCTCAAGGAGGAGCTCGATGAAGATCGTGTTCGTTGTGTTGTTTCGTTTTCAGTTGATCAATAGTGGAGCCCAGTCGGGGTGACAGGGGATCTATGCATTAGTGGTGGTCTTCTTTTATTTTGGTTTCGTAGTCGGACCTTGATTGTATTCTGGATGATGTAATGCTATATTTGTGTATTGTCTGAAGTGACGATTGTAAGCCAACTCTTTATCCGTCTCTTATTCGGTACATGGGATGTGTAAAGATTACCCCTCTTGCGACATGCCTACAATGCGGTTATGCCTCTAAGTCGTGCTCCAACACGTGGGAGATATAGCCGCATCGTGGGTGTTACAGGGGGCTTTGCGGGCGTGTGTAAATGTGTCTTTATGGGCTAACGGGTTTGAATTAAGTGTGTTCGAATGGTGGTACGTAACGGCCCTTTACAAATTTGACTAAGATCCAGAATGAAATCAATAAAATTTTCAGAAGTTGGAACAAAAACGAAATGAAAAACAGCCAACTGAGTATTCTCTCATGTATATCCAAATTCTGATGTGCATCAACTGAGTATTCTCTCATGGAGTACTGTAAAAGGACTCATAACGAGTGTTCTCTCGTGTATAACCAAATTCTGAGAATCAACCAACAACGTACATATCCAAACAACAATCTGAAATGTGAAGTTGTTTGATTCCATGAGCAACTCCAACCGTCAACCAAATAATAGAAATTGAATCATAAGCAGATTTCCCTTTGCTTAGGTTCGATGGAATTTGCTCCGAGCTCCGCTGACCGATTCAATTCAAACAGAACTCTATGTTTTTTCTAGCAGATTGAGACTTCTACACTTTATTGAATGGAATATAATACATAGAGTGACTCAAAACAAAACAAAAAATACTGAGAGGGTGCTTGGATACAAGGGACTATTTTTAGTCTGACTAAAAATAGTCTTTTTTAGAGGCTAAAGTTCCAAGCACCCCTGACTAAAGAGAGGCTAGGACTAGTCTTGAGGCTAAAATCTTTTAGTCACGGGAAACCTACTAAAATATGTATTAGCTCTCTCTCTCCTCATTTAATTCCTCTCCTTAGTTCTGGATTGGAGGGTTTGGAGGATAATAAATGCTCAATAACTAGATTTTAGTCTCTTTAGTATTTAGATCCAAGCATGGGTGAGACTAGCAAGTTTTAGTCCCACTACTTTTAGTCATGGGACTAAAACGTATCCAAGCATGCTCTGAGCACATGCGTGTTATGGTCGGCACTCGGCGCAGCGAGCAAATAGTTTGACCGGCTCACGTCTACCCGCTGACTTCAACACGCACATCTCACTGGCTGCTTCTACTCCAGTTTTGTAGCTGCATGCATGCAAGCCACACGTACGTACACATGCAACTTGCTTGCTTATTGACTAATCTACATATAATTATACTCATTAGTACTAGGAGTAATACGTAGTAACTGCATGCCTGATCGAGCATGCCGTTAACTAATTAGTTGCCTTGGTAGGCGGCAGGGGCTTGAGCACGAGGCCGTCGCCGCCCGGCCTCTCCTCGACGGCGTAGGGCATGTGTGTCCCGAACACATGGTCCCACGTCACGAAGAAGAGGTCGGAGAAGTTGTACCGGACGCCGCGCGGCATGTGGTGCACGCCGTGGTACGCGGCGCCGTTCCAGACGGACTGCAGGCGGCGCGGCAGCAGGCACACGCCGCAGTGGTTGTCGATGGCCTTCACGGTGCAGAGGGTGAGGAAGACGGCCGTGGCGCGCGGCGAATGCGGCGACAGGCCGGTGACGAGGACGGCGAGCGAGGCGCCGGCCGTGTCGGCGATGAGGACCTCGATCGGGTGGCCGTAGATGGCGCCGAACGCGTAGGGCACCACGATGCGGTGGTGCCACGAGTGGAGGTGCCGGTAAATGAACCGGTTGATGTGCGCCAGCCGGTGCCACGCGTACCGGTACGCGTCGAACACCAGCACAGCCACCGCGATCCGGGCCGCCGCCGTCAGGTACGCCTCCGCCCGTGAGCCGCCAGCGGCCTTGGACGCCGTCGCTCCTCTTCCTCCCGTAACCTGTGTATGTATAAGCTCGACGGTCAGCGGGTGCACAAATTAACGACGTGCATGCATGCATGTATAAATAAGATCAGTAGTACGTACCATGGCGAGCACGGCGAGGGCGGCGAGCTGCATGAGGTGCTGCATGAGGACGTTGAGGATGACGGCGCGCTTGGACACCATGTTCTTGCGGTCCTCCTCGTCCTTGGTGTTGAGCCTGTACTTGTCCATGAGCCGCGAATGCCCCAGCGCCGTGTGCACGCCGGCGTAGGCCCAGTACACGGCGATGGGCACGACGGCGGCCACGGTTTCCTCAGAGACCCTCGGCATCTCCATCTCAACAAGCCTCTTCGATCGATCACCGACGTACGTGCCTTTCGTGCGTGTAGGTGTGTGCTAACTGCAGACGACGTACTGTCTTGTGTCGATCTTGTGGCTGTGTGAGTAAACCTTAGCGCGATTTCCCTTGCTTATATACACCCAAGAAGTGAGAAGCCACGTGCGTGCGTGCGTGCGTGCATGCATGGCAGGGTTGAGGAATCAGGCCGTTTGACCGTGCAAGTCGTGGTTTGTGGTTGCCATGTTTGATTGTCGTCGTGGTGGTGTACATGTTTGACGGCGACGTATGTGGGACGTGGATCGGCTTGGAAGCGTGGAGCCCAACGGATTTGTCAAGTCAGTCCGTCGCTCGATCCCATCCCGCCGCCGGCCAGCAGCGACGGTTTCAAAGCCTTCCTTCCTCGCTCTACATACGGAGTTACCATTATTGACTCTTCATCAAATCTTCCAGATATCGCCGCGAGCCGAATTGCTTTCAACCATGTGAGTGTATTTTGTTGTACGTATATAGGAAGAATTTTAGGGGCTGCATGCAGAAATATGGACGTCAGACATGACACCGTTTGTCTTTTCTAGTACTACTAGTATTTTTTTTCTAGTAATACGTGTCTCATTAATAACATAATGATTTAATTACAAGCCAAGTAAACATCTACCTCCGTTCCTAAATACTTGTCTTTCTAGGCATTTCAACAAATGACTACATACGAAGCAAAATGAGTGAATCTATACTTTAAAATATGTCTACATGCATCCGCATGTAATAGTCATTTGAAATGTCTAGAAAGACAAATATTTAGGAACGAAGGGTATATTACAGGACTGAAAAAATAGAATAATCCTATGCAAAAAAAACAGCGCCTGGCCCTCTCCACTAAGGAAAAAGAGACAGATCACCTCTTCATCCGAGCTCGACGCGGCTCCATCGCTGATCAGCAGCTTTACGGATCTTCAAAGTAGTTTGCCTAAAACAAAATCATTGCCGTTGAAAGAATCGGACCGGGGCAACCTGTCCTCGGACACGCCATCGAACTCCAGAATTGATACCCCACACGACTACGACGTCGAAGGAGAAAACTAAAAGTGTCAGCCTCTAACCATAAACCCAGCACAAGATGCACCAAAATTGCTTTAGTAGTCCTATAAGAATGCGTACACCTACACACATGTACCATTGATCCACATCCATGCGTACGCTCTTGGCTACCGGCCGGGTCGTTGCAGCGGCGTACGTAGACCCATTAGGCCATTGTTATTTTATTATTATTATTATTTTGAGAATCCATTGTTATTTAGGTAATTGATTGAATTGCGGGATTGCTAAATGTCAGTCGATTAAGACTTCAAGTGACAAAACATATAAAAAAATGTTGTACAAATCTCCATGTAAAATCTCATGGGTATAGCATTGATTAAGGCTTCGTTAAGTCTTAGTCGACTGAGATTTAACAATCCTGTTTTATTTTTGATAGGCCTCCTCACACATTAATCTTGGCTTGACCGACGAGGAGGCGACAGCAGCGGCTCCGTATGATAGCGGCTCGATATCTTGGGCAACAACTCTTCATTCCGATCCTGGTGACGGCCCCGACGCCGAGTCCAGATGCTGCAAGCCCAACGCCGATCTTCATCAGGAGAAGGGCCCCACTGCTGCCAACACCGGTTGCACCCAGGCAAGTGGCGCTCAAGGCCAGGAGGAAGACCCTGGCTCCAGGCTTCTCCCTCAACCGTCGAAGTGCTCGTCTACACGCCAAGAGCAGGGCCACACCCGTGGCAAAAATGGCGGAGCTGATCCTCTGCCGCAGGGTTGGAATTGTGAGCGATGGAACCCAAGTCACGGAGGAAGCAATCACCAAGTTTGCTGAACTCTTCAGGGGCCAACTCCCCCCCTATTGCCATTGGCGCGCTCCGCGCCCTTTTCCGGTTGGACTGCGACCTTGCGACGGCCGTTGAAGAAGCGTTGATCGAGCACGGCGGTGCTGATGGCTTGGACCACGAGGGACCGAGCAGGTGGACCGCACGGCTGCTGTCTGAAGCGTTAACAGCAGTGTCTTCTCAGAGTTCAATTTAGATTCCATGTTAGACCAGACTATCTGCATATGTGTGGGTGTTGGTGCGCCATGTTGGTTGCCCATGAGTTGCTTTGTTTATTGTTGTTGTCTGTGCTACTCCATGATGATCAACGCTTGTTATTTGAGTTTATGCTCCTGGTGTCTGCTCTACATGGCACCCTTTCTCCTATCCTGGTACTGCTGGAGCCACGCCGGGCTGCTGTGGACGGGAGACTGCTCTCTGATGTCAGCTGCTTGGCCATGTTAGAGCACAACCTGCATGTTATTAGCTAGAACGTCAGGGGACTGAACTGCCCAGATCGTAGAGCAACTGTGCATGAGACCATCAACGCCTCTCCCTGTAATCTCCTGTGCATCCAAGAATCTAAATTAGCAAACCTCGATGACGCTACTGCTGTCTTCCTTGGGGGATTCAGACTCAAGAACTTCGCAACTCTGCCTGCTGTGGGCACGAGGGGCGGCATCATTTTTCTTTGGAACGGAGATAGCATCGAAGCTTCGGACATCACCGTTGGAGAGTTCCATCTATCCGCGACGATCAGGCTGGTCCACACTGAGGTCTCCTTCAAGCTGACAACTGTCTATGGGCCAACGAATAGCAGCCGTAAGGATGATTTCTTCGCGGAAATTGTGGCGCAGAAGCCGGCAGCGGGGCACCTGTGGCTGGTGAACGGGGATTTCAACCAGATTTATAGAGCGAAGGATAAGAACAAGCGGAACGCTAACATCTCGCGCATAAACCATTTCCGCAGCACCTTGGACGCTTGTGAGCTAAAAGAGATCCATCTTCAGAACCGCAAGTTCACATGGAGCAACGAGCGCATTGACCCCACCCTCTGTAAGTTAGATAGTTTTTTCTGCAACCCTGAGTGGGACCTCCATTTTGGTTCTCATGTGCTTTCTGCCATGACCACCTCACTCTCTGACCACTGCCCATTGTTCCTGTCCAGCGATTGTGGCCCTAAGCGCCCCCGCAAATTCAAGTTCGAGAACTTCTGGGTCAAGCTTCCGGGGTTCAGGCAGGTGGTCGCTAAGACTTGGGCCTAGCCTACCGCGCACTCGGAGCCATGCCGGATCTTTGCTGAGAAACTTCGGCGCACCGGGGTAGCCCTCCGGCATTGGAGCAACGGTTTCTTCTCAGATGCAAAGCTGCAGCTCACCATGGCCCAGGAGATCATTCTCAGGTTGGACATGGCCATGGACTTTCGGCCACTTTCTCCGGAGGAGAGGGAGTTGAGATTGAGACTGAAAAGAAGAGTGACTGGCCTTGCTGTGCTAGAGAGAGCTAGAAAGCGGCAGGCTTCACGGATTACCAATTTGAAGGAGGGCGATGCGAACACCAAGTTTTTTCATCTAAAGGTTAATGCCAGAAGAAGAAAGAACTTCATCAAACGCCTGCGAAAAGGGACGGGCTGGGTAACGACTCTTGAAGACAAAGCAGCGGTGACGCATGACCACTTCTCGACCATGCTTCGCAAGGATGCTCGGCCTGAGAAGGACTTCAACTGGGATAGGTTTGAGTTTGCCCAATGCGAATTGACTAGCTTGGCTGAGCCTTTCGAAGAGGAGGTGCTGGACGCAATTGGGGACATGCCCAAGGATAAAGCCTCTGGCCCAGACGGCTTCACGGGCGCCTTTTTCAAGACCTGTTGGGAAACGATCAAGGCAGACCTCATGGCCGTAGTAAACGGTTTCTCAAACCTTCGAACAGAGCACTTCCAGTGGGTCAACACGGCAAACATTGTGCTCATCCCAAAAAAGGATGGGGCGGAATGCATCTCAGATTTTAGGCCATTTAGCCTCATTCACGATGTGGCAAAGATGATGGCTTCCCGACTTGCCCCTTTCATGCATACGCTCATCTCCTGCTCCCAGACTGCTTTCATCAAATCTAGAAGCATCCATGATAATTTTATGTATGTGCGCAACATGGCGAGAAGGATGCACCGTCTCAAGAAGCCTACGCTCCTGTTTAAGTTGGACATCAGAAAAGCCTTCGACTCTGTGCGGTGGGACTACCTGTTGGAGCTTTTGCGACGCCGCAGCTTCCCGACGCGTTTCAGAGATATGTTGGCCGCTCTTCTTCACACGTCATCCTCCAGAGTCCAGCTTAATGGTGTTCCGGGTGAGCCTATCTGGCATGAGAAGGGTCTCTGCCAGGGTGGCCCGCTCTCGCCGTTGCTTTTCGTCCTGGCAATCGACCCTATTCAGAGCATCCTTGACACCGCCACGAGGCAGAGCAAGCTACACCAGGTCAGGGGGAAAGCTATCTGCATGCGCACCTCCTTATATGCTGACGATGCTGCAATCTTTGTTGCCCCTTTCAAGGAAGATATCCAGCAGCTTACTACCCTCCTTGAAGGCTTTGGGGACGTAACCGGCCTTGTGACGAATCTGGGAAAAACCATGGTGGCTCCAATTCGATGCTCCGAAATCGACCTTGACGATGTCCTACAGTGCTTCCCTGCAGCTCGCTCCAACTTCCCCATGCGCTATCTCGGCCTACCCCTCTTGATCCATCGATTAAGGAAGATCGGCCTGCAGCACCTCGTGGATAAGGCAGCTGGTAAGCTAGTGCCATGGTAGGGTCGCCTCATCACCACGGTGGGCAGGTCTGAGTTAGTCAAGTCGGTGCTCTCTTCCATTGCCACCTTCCATGCCATGGCCTTGAAGCTGCCGGAGGGAACTATCTCCGCCTTTGTGGGCATCGAGAGAGCCTTCCTTTGGTCGGGCTCGGACAAAGTGTCTGGAGGATAGTGCAAGGTCAGTTGGCGGCTGGTTTGCAGGCCTAAGCGTCTTGGTGGTCTCAGTATCCTTGACTTCCGCATGTATGCTCGGGCACTGCGGCTTCGTTGGCTTTGGTATGAGTGGAAGGAGCCACATTGGGCGTGGGTGGGGTACGGAAACCCTTGTGACTCCGCTGAC